TCTTTAATAAATAAAAATAATATATAATTTTTTCTTATTTATTTTTGATTTCACGGTATTTTTATTTTAAATTCAATAAATTTTTTAAAAAACTAGAAAATATGGATAATGATTAATCTGGAGTAAATAAATACTTATATCACTAGTCCTTGTTTTACTGATTTCATTACTTTTGGGAGAAATTATATATTATGATATTAAAACAATCTCTTAATAAATATAAACTTCTATTGATGATAATAAAAATATTTATCTTTATTTAATTAATGGGTTTTATTTGATGTATTTGTTTTTGTATAGTAATTTATTTGAATATTTTAATTTTTATTATATTAAATATTTTTATAAAATTATAATTTTATATAATTAATATTTTTAAATTTTAAACAATATTTCTCTTTATTATTAAAAAATTAATATTTATATATTTTTTGTATATTTAATTTAAATATATATTAAAGTTTTTTTTATTATATTTGATATTTTAACTTTATTATAAATAAATTATGTAAAATAAAACATATTTTAATAAAATTTATACATATTATATTATTATTATATTGTAAAAAAAAATTCATATAAATTAAAACTGTTAATTATTCAAATAATACATATAAATAATAAATTTTATAACAAAAATTAATTTTTAAATATTTAATAAATTCATTAATTACAAGTTTAAAAACAATTTTTATTTTATAAAATCAAGTTTCTTTTTTATAATCTAGTATTTTTAGAATATAGATTCTTTTAATTTAAATAAATTGAATAATTTTAAGATTATTTATGATTTGTATTCTTTTATAAATTGCTTTCCATATTTTAAATATTAATTGGATTTGTTAATTTTAATTATCCATTACTTGTATTATAAATATAATCAAGTAGATATTTTTTATTATTGGGTTTATATTTTTCAAGAATAAATGTATTATATTTTCTTTCATTACTTACTTTTAATTCTTTTAATTTTTTCTCGCTAATAAAAATATTTTTTTTTAAAGGAGATTAATTTTTACTAAAAAATAATTTTTAATTTTCCGTTGGAATAAGCGAAAAATTTTTTTAATATTTATTTATATATTATATTGAATGTGCTATTGATGATCTTCTTAAAATATTAATATAATTTTGATGAAATTATTAATTATTTTGTACTTTCTTTTGTAAAGAAATCAGATTTTTCGAGCATTATAAGATTCTATACTTTTATTAACTATTACTCTATTTTTCATTAAAATACTAGTTTTAAGGAGTAAAATTAAAATGATTTTAATCACTATTTGTAGAAAAAATCAAATTTTTATTTTAATTTTCTAAACAAACAGAAGAATCGAGTTTTTATAAATCCAAACACTCAATATTTTATTAAGTATATTTTCTTTTAACTTTTTTTTAATTTTATTATTTGATTGAAACATTATTATTAAAATTCGTATTTTTATCATCTGCAGAAATTTTATAGTTTTTATGTGTAAAAGAATCTGATAATACATTTATTTATTATTATTTTTTTTATTATGGTTTATTTAATTCAAGTTTCTAAAGTTCAGTTTTGAAAATCATTTTTATTAATTAAAATGGAAATTAAAATTCACGATTTTTATTTTGCTTATTAAAAAGTCCAAAGTATGCTTCCCCTTCACAACTCTTGCGGCGTATTTAATATTTTAAATGTTTTTTTTAATTATAATTATTTTGATCGTACAATATTTTGGATAATCTTTATGGAGGAGTATAAAATTTTATTGTTTTTGTTTATTTTTTCATAAACTTTTCTTTATTTTTTTTTATTTATATCTATATTGATCTTAAATTTTATTTTTATTGTTAATATATTGTTTTAGATAAGCTTTTTTTATTTATTGTATCGTTTAATTAATGCATAACATTTTTTCTCATTTTTTTTTTTTTTAAAATAAAAAAATGTAAATTTATACTTTAGTAAAATATTTAGACTTTGAAAAAAATAAATAAATAATTTTTATGAAAAATAAAATAAATATATATATATATATATATAAATAATTCAATTTTAATGTTCTTTAAAATTAACTAAAATAATGAAAAATGTAAATAAAGATACGCTAGTCATAATAATTTCATTTAAATGTTTTTTATTCTTATTTATTTATTATTTTTCTTATTATTAATTAAAAAAAATAACTAAATTTGTTTACCAGGTTTTTATTCCATATCATTATTTACCTAAATTTAAAAGTTTTCATTCTTTTAAGTAAAGCACTTCGATCCTTTAATAAAGTCGAAAAATTTTTCATATAATTTTTTTTATCTTTAATCATTTTATTCAATAAAATTTCCTTTATTTTCCAATAGAAAACTCTAATAATTCACTTAATTAAGAATATTTACAGAAAACTCATAAATTTTAGCGAACTTTCCTTTAATAAGTTAAATAATTTCATTTTCTTTATTTAAATTTTCCACAAATTACATAATAAATACACTAACTAACAAATTACAAATTTCTGTTTAAGCTTCTTAATAAATTGGACCTTATTAAAATGTATTATTCTTTTCTAATATCAAAAGAAGTTTTTCTAATATATCGTTGCATAGTAAAATGGCATTTTTACGGTCACAGACTTTATTTTTTTTTAATTTTTCAGAATATACGCGCATTCGCCATCTGAATTAGTACTTTAAAGCAGGCTAAAGTAACCAATAAAACCTATCATGCAATTAATTTGGCGAATTTATATCAAAAAAAAGAAAGTAATGGAATATTTAATCAAGTTAACAACACATATCTAACAAGTAAATATTTTATTAAGCTTAAGAATAATCAAAATATAGAGATTTTACAACATCAAGGAATTAGGAACGAACAAAAGGAAGGTTTTCTAAAAATAGTAAAGGCAAACTATAATTATACTCATCAATATTTTCCGTATATTCAAAAATATGCTTTATTTTCAAACTCTTTAATGCTGTTGTTAACAAAAAGAGAGAAGCATCGAATTTATATGAAGGATTTTTGATAGCGAAAATTGTTATTTTAGAAACATTTATGATTTTTCCCTTTTCTTTTTGTAGATTTTATTAGTTTATATTATTTAATATCATTTTTATTTTTTTTTCAATTAAATATTTAAATATCTTTTTTTTTATTATTTTTAAAATAAATTTTTATATGTATTATTTTTTATGTGTATATGTTATTTTTTTGTTTTCAATTTTTTAACCATTCATCATTTAATAATATCTTTATTTTATTATTAAAATATTTTTTTATTTTTTATTTTTTACTGAATTAGCAGAAGGTCTATCTTAAAAAGAAACATTAAGAAGATTTTTTATGAGATTTTATGCAGATACTGAAATTTCATGTACAAAAGAGAATTATCCTTTTTAAATTTTGTAGAAAAGGATTTAATTAGTAATACCTTTAAAAGGAAGGGTGCCTTGTAACATTTAATAAAGCAAAATACCTAAAGCCCACATATCATCTTTAGATGAAGAATTTTTTTTGGAAACAATTTCAGGTGACATATAAGAAGGTGTACCACAAAAAGTTTATTAATTAAAAGAATGATTATTTTCAATACTAAAACCAAAATCAATAATTTTGATTTTCTCATGTCTATCATCTAATAATATATTTTCTAGTTTTATATCTCTATGAATGATGTTTTTTTGGTGAAAATAATTAACTCCTTCAAGTATTTAACGAAAAAGCTTTTTGCATGTAGCTTCATCTAATCTACGCTCAGGTCTTTCCCTTAAATATGTATACAAACTTGTTTTACCAATATATTCCATTACTACTATAATTTCACTTGTTTTTAAATTTCTTTATGAAGATATTAGTTTTATTATATATTCATTTTCCAATTATCTTAATATTTATATTTCTCGTTTTATATTTCTAAGTTTTAGCAAATCTAATGTTATATGACGAGGGTAAATCTTTAATGCATAAAATATTTGTGCCTAGTTAATTTTAGCTAATTTCACTGTTGCATAAGATCCTTTACCTATCTCATCAAGTACTTTTAAATCTTATAAATTTATGTTTTGATCAAAAAAAAAAGATTATTTTTATAATTATTATTAAACACTTTCTAAATAAAAATAATATATATATATATTTATATCTTTTTTTACAACTATATCTTTTGATTTATGTTTATTATAATAATTTAATAGTATCTTATTTATCATTTAGCAAAGATATATTATTAGTGTAATTAATTAATTTAGATTAAATATTATTCTATTTAAAAACTTTTTCTTAATTTTTAAGAAGAAATTTTTGTTTTAATCTAAAAAGATTATTCGATAAAATATTTTATTGAGGTTTAATATTTTATTTTTAAATTTATTTATAAATAACTGGCACACTTGTTTTAAAAGGTCTTTTAACTTAAAATTTTTATTTATTCATTATACCAATTTTTATATTATATTTTATTATTTTAAAATTTAAAAAATAATTTTTTGTTATTTATTCAAAAAAGTTTTTTTTCTGATAAAATTGTTTTTTTTTAAATAAGCAATATAAAAAAAATATATAAATATTCTAATTAATAAAATGTAAAAAATATTTAATTTTTAATATTTATTAAAAAAAATTTAAAAATATTTAAAAAAAATTTTAAAAAAATTAAAATATAAAGAAATGCATATATATTTTGATATATAAATAAAATATTATTTAATTTTATTTTTGTAATTTAAATTATTATATAATATGTTATTTTATCTCAATTCAAAATTAATTTACAAACAAATTTTATATAATTCTGTTTATTTATACTAAATTACATTATTAAAATTTAATAATATTTAATATATTTTAATATATTTTATATATTTTAAAAACTAATTTTAATGATTTATAATTTTTTTTAAATAAAAGTTTAATCTATAATAATATTAAAAATATTAAAATAATTTCATTTTTTAATATATTATGCCATTTTTAATTTATTCTATAATATTAAATAAAAAACAAGAAATTCATATTTAAATTATCATCAATATAATTTTTAGTCTATTTCTTTTAATTTTCCAAATCCAACTCTTTCATTTTCTCTATCAAACACAGTTAAATATTTATACATAAAAACATCACCAAAAATCCATATATCACCCACTTTTTTTTTTAATTTAACATTATGAAAAATATATATTTATAAATTTATACATTATTCGTCTTCAACATCTATTTAAACAAAACTTTCAACACAATTAAATATGTTCCCATCATTAATAGAAAATTAATAATCTTCAGGATACAAATTATAAATTTAATCATCAATTTTAAAACTAACTTTAGGTAAGTTCTTACATTAATAATCTTCATTAGCCATATATCCAATCAGTTTATTAATACCAGTAGTTGGTCCAGCGATAACACTAGTACCAGAATCAACAATAAAAGCACAGGGTTTATTAACCGAACAAATATTAGTATTATTTTCATCAACAAGTATTTCTTATACGAATATAGACCAATAGTTTGGATTTGCAACTTTATGATAAGTTACTTTATCATCTAATAGAATGTCTTTATAATCAGCTTCTCCAAATTAAATAAAAGAAACATTTTAATTTTCATTTCTGTTCATATAAAAAGAAAACTAGTTTTTTTATATTACTTTTTATTATTTCATTCTATCACTTAATGTTAATGTTCCTTCACCTAATTCCGGAAATGAAAGGCCAACAATTCCATCAAAATCACCCTTTATATTTTTTTTTAGTTAGAAAATATATATTTTAATAAATGTATAAAATTTCTTTACATCTTAGAATATGTATCCTTCTTCTTTTGTAATTTCAACGAAATCTACGTTTTTTATTTCTTATTTTTCAACAAAAAAACTATCTTTTGAATAATCACCTATTAAATTTCCTTTTTTTGAATTATATCTATTTTAGTAAAAAAAAAAAAAAAAAAACCGCTTCCATATTAGACTTCATATTCATATTCTGTAGGCTTATAAGTTTTTGATTTTTTAAAATCATATTAATTTCCTCTTTTACAGCCGATATCTTAACATTTAACAGAATTAACAAAAATTAAAGCTGATCCAGTATCGAATATCATATTATATTATTTTTCTAAATAGCCTACTGATAATGTTCCAGTATAAAATGTATTTTAGTGATTTTATAAAGATATTTTTCCATTTTTATAGTTTTTAGGAATTACTTATTATTATTAAATAAATTTATTTGATTAAAACTTTTTGAAAATTTATTTTTCTTATAATTCTAATTAAACAAACTCTATTTACTTTTTTAGGACGGAATGCTACATTGTTAAAAAGTTAAATTATTTTATTCTTCTTTCTATAGATGAATCTCTTTTTAATTTTATTCTTAGACTTTTTTCTTATTAGAGGAATTTTTTTTATTTTTGATGAGTTCTATTCATGCAAGATGTTACAAAGACTAATAATAAAAAAAATAGTTTTATCATTTTTTTTTTTCTTTTAAATATAATAAAAAACGTATTTAATTAATGTTTATATTTATTTGCTTTTATATACGTATATATTAATAAATTATTTGTTTATATTTTTATTTTTCATAATTATTTCTATTGAAACATTTTGTAACACTATTTATATTTTTTTATTTAATTAAGAAATTAAATAATAAAAAACCTTTTCATTTTCAAGTAAAACTTTTTGTATAAACTCATTTTATTTTTCCATCTAATTTTAAAGATCCTAAATAATACGTTTTTATTTTAGTATTTCTTTATCCTTTTCTGCCATTTTTTATACTACTTTAAATAAAAATATATAAAAAGAAAATAAAAAAAAAATACTTTATTAGATAATAAAATCTTTTTCATTTTCATTTTAAGGGTATTCATGAAATTAAATTTGAAGCGACGATATTTTTTCATTCGATTCTTATAATAAAATCTCGAATTCTTTGAGTTTCTTTTCATAATTACTTTTAATTTATTTTAATTAATTGCTCATTTATTAATTGTGACCTTCAATATTTTTTTAATAGTTCTAACAAATTTAAAGTAATTAATAATTTTTTTCAGATTCCATTTCATATTTCTATTTATTTAATTCTTAATTAGGGCTTTTTAATAATTTTTCATTTAGTTTTCTTTTTTAATTATCTTCTATATTCTATAAAGTTTTCTCTAACTAAAATTCATTTTAGATTTTTGAACATAATATTTTTCCATTTGAACAATTGTTAATAAGCTGTGTTTTATCAAATAAGCTTGAACTTTTTTAATGTAAACTTTCATGTTTTTCATTTTGAAATAGCTATTTATATTTTTATTTAAAAAATATTTTTTTTTAAAAGTAACATTTTTGTTTTCGGAATTTAATTGAAATAATTTTTCATTTAATTCATTTAGTTTTTTTATGATGTCCTTTTTTCTTTCTTATCTTTATATCTTTGAAATGAAAACATCTTCACTTAGATTTTTTTCTGATATTTTATTTTTTATTTCGGTTCTATTAATTTATTATTTAACAATCATTTTTATTAATTTTTTATTTGTTAAAAAATAAAATAAATAAATTTAAATTAAAAAAAATATAAATATAAAAATTAATAGATAATATTATTTTTTTCAAGTTAAAGAAATATAAATAAAAGGATTCCAAGTTTTTGCTTTTACTTCATTTTCTAAATCAGGTTTAACATTTTCCATTTCAAAAAGATTTTTTTGCTTCCATTTTAGCAACCTTTCCTTCGAATTTTAAAGAAATTGATTTAAATAAAATTCCATTCCAACATTATCCACTAATTTATAATAATGATCATTATAGAAATCATGATTTTGTAATTTAGATAAAAACTTTATATCTATAAATTCAAATAATTTTTAATAAAGATCTTTTTCTTTTTGATAACTTTATAATGAATAATCTTTCCATTCTCCACTTCCAATTTTTAACTATATATAGGACAAATCTAAAAAATTCATAAGAGTTACAAAATACATATAACTTATGCTTTTTCTATTATTTTTAAAAAAAACATCAATAAAATGCCAAAAGTAATCTTTTTAATCAAAATCAACATTAAAAAGCATACTTTCATGCTTTACTTGGTTTTTAATGAAGTTGATTTATTCACTTTCTTCCCAAATCCTTAATTTGATAAAATCTCTCAAATTAATACAAATTAAGCCACAAAATATATAAGTTAAATTATCCAAATATTCTAAATAAGCAATATCATCTTAATCTATATTAAAATATTTAAAAATAGGAATATCTTATTATTTTTTTATATTTTATAATTCATTCATATCATCTGTTAGTCGTGTACAACTTAAAATAAATCCCATACAAAGTTCAAAAATAAGAATTTCTCCAAAAAACTTTAACATGATAAAAAATAATATATGTTTTTATTGTTCTTATTTTTTTTTTAAATGTGCATTTTCTGGCATTACCTGTATTGCATGAGAAGATTTTATTTCATTTTATAAAGATTGAATGATTTAAAATTCTAAATAAAACCCAATTTCTTTGTCTATTTTTTTTACTTCAAATAAGGTTTTATGTAATTCATGTGAATTATTCACTATTTCTTTAAAACTTCCTATTTATGTCATATTTAAAAGCTTAAATTGTTCGACTAATGTCTTTAAAATGATATTTTTTTTATATTTCTATTCATATATTTCTTTATTTTTTAAATATTTTTCTTGACTTTTTTCATATAATAATTTTAAATATGCAAAACGATTAAAATTAATTTTTTTTTCTCTTTGTAAATTCATATTTTTTTTATTTTTAAATTAATAAAGATTTTTAATTATTTTAAAAAAAAGAGTCAATTTAATACATATTATTTTTATTTTATATTTTATTCTTTTTTAATTATTCTTTCTAAAATAATTTTTTCTAACCTTAAGTTATTTCTATCTAAATTTTCTTCATCATAACCAAAATTTTTCTTAACTATTTATTATTCCTATATAAAATCATCTGCAAAGAGCATTGTATTCAAATAAAAAGGTGCATTTTTTTAATAATTGGGTAAAATAATTACTTCTTTATTAAAATATTTTCTATTTTAATTTATAAATCCACATAATATTTTTTTGACTTTTCCAACATTTTTATCAGTTTTATTTATTTTAAAGTCATTTAATGTCATATTTTTTCCCACTACATATTATTTTTGTTATATTTAATTTCCATATAAAATTTCTTTAAAACATGATGTATTCTTATTTAAAACTGCCTATTTTTTTTTAATAATTTTTAATAAAATAAAGCAATATGACATTTGTTTATCTTGATAAATGATTATTCTCTTCTTTTCTAATATTTAAATCTATATTTTTTGTTTATAAATATAATCTTTAAACTTCATCAACTTTTTATTATTTCATTTTTTATAAATAAGGAATAACACTAGATTAAGATGCCATATTAAATAATATATCATATTATTCATTGCTTTTATTATGTATTGATTTTTGTTAAATTTAATCATTACTTTTGTATAATCGAGGAAAAATGCTATTTAATTTAAAATTTAAATTTGATTTCGATGGAACATCTAATTTTACAAATTAAGAAATAATAAAATTTGAAGGTTTAGAATTTTTTCTTTAATTCATAAATATAAAAATAATTATTTATATAAAATTTTATTTTAATATAAATACGTAAAGGAAAAAAATATTAATGCATATTTATAATAAAAATTATATATTATTAAAATATATAATTAATTATTTATTAATTAATTTATTTATATATATATATTTACTTTTATTAAAATTTTTATATTTATATATATATTATTTTATTTTTATTTTTTATAATTTTTTTAATATTATTTATTTTTTATTAGTTATATTTTAATTTATGAATACATTATATAATTAATTTTTTTTAAAATATAATTTAATTTAATTTTTTTAATATGTATTTTTTTATAATTAATTTATTTCTTATTTTAGCATAAATATAAATTTTGTTTTTTTTTATAATATTAATTTAAATAGATATAATTTTTTTAATAAAATATCTATTTTTTATAATATAAATTTATTTTTTATTTGCTAATAAAATCAAATTAATTAATGAATAACATTATTAGTTTTTAATGAAAAATATATTTTTTTTTTTTTTTTTTTTTTCTTATTTTAAAGTTATAATCTTTTATTTTTTTATAGAAATTAAATTAAATTTAATTATATAAAAATTTTTTTTTATATAATTTTATATTATATTTTATAAATTATTTTTACAAATTAATAAAGTTTTTTATTAATTATATATTCTTATTATATTTAATATGATATATATTTTACTTAAACCGATATTTTAATTGACAAAATTAAAACTTAAAAAATAAAACACATTAATAACAAAATAAATAATAAATAAAATTATTAATATATTAATATAACTAATTTTTTTTAACAATTATTCATTCAAATTTTGTTTCTTATTATTACTCATTTATATTTTCAATTTTACTTTATTTTTGTTATTATTTTTTTTACTTTTAATTAATTCCTTTAGATTAATTAGTATATTTTATTGGAATATTAAGAAAATTATCAATTTTGCTATCATTATAATTATTATTATTTCTCTATTATGAATTATTTTTAATTTAATCCTAATAATTATTTTTAATTTAATTATTTCTTTTATTATTTTTTCTTTAATTTTTAAATCCTTAAATATTAGTAAAATGCATATGATGCACATTAAATACATTATTAGGTGGTAAAATATCAGGGTTACATAAAAAATTATTGAATTAATTTACAAATTCATTTTCATTTTAAATAATTTAATTGTTTTAGTTTTTTAATTTTAAACCTTATAAAGGAATTTTACATTAATCTTATTCATTTTAATTATCAAAATCAACATAATCATTAAGACATTAATTATTTGTAAAGCAATTATTATATAACTAAGTAAAAAAATTTATTTAGAAAGAAGGGTCTTAAATAAAATTATTATACTAAAAGCAATTATTATTATTTACTTATTTATAATTATTATTGTATTATTTATTTTTGTCTTGTTGTTAATTTTATTATTAATTTTATTTATTATAATTAGTATATTATTTTTTGTTATTTTATCTATTTTATTATCTCATATCATTATTATTTTCATTATTAATATTTTCATTAGAGTTTTATTTATTAAAATTATTTTCTTACTAATTTTATTATTATTTGTATCCATAATGATGTTTTTTACCATATTTCTTTCTTTGCCTTTCAGAATGAAAACTTGCAAAAGGATTAGCTTAAAATTTTAAATGAGCTTCTCTGAATTTTAATTGATATTCAATATTTGAGTCCCTATCATTTCTCATTTGCTTTTCTAAATTATCATAATTAATAAAATTTTGAAAAATTGAACCAATAGACTCACTTTATTTAAAAATATTGATCATTCTTTGACCATTAGAATTAGACAATAAAGAGCAATCGCCTAAATGAATAACAGAAATTAAATTTAAATTTTGATCATTATTTTCTTCTTTTTTAGAATTTCTTTTACGCTCTTTTATGTGTTCGAATTTCTTTTCCCAAATATCCATTATATATACCCATTCAATTTAAAATATTCCAAACCATCTACATTCATCATTCCAATACTAGAATGATTAGCCTGTCTATAAACCACTTTTTAATCGAACCATGCCACAAAATTTCTAGCTGTTTGTTACTGAATAAAATAAGTATATTTCTGTGTTTTTATCTTTTGCTTCTTCATACGCCTTATTTAATATTTCAGCATTTCTGTTTGTAGTAGTCCATATACCGTATTTTATTGCTTTATGAATATGATCTTCATTGAAACTTCTTATTATGTAATATGTGGCTGTTTCTAGTCCTGCTAACTCAATATTGGTATTGTTTAAGTTTTTTAATGAATCAAATTCTTCACGGATTTTCTCAATGTTTTGATAATTTTGTAATTCTTTGTATTCAGCTTAGAAGATATGATCTTTGCTTAAAGTATTAGTATATTCTAGAGATTCTTTTGTTTGCATTTTTTTTTTAATTTTACCTTTTTGTTATTTAGATATATATCTTTTTTTAAATTAAAATTAATTAGATTTTTCCCCTTTATTTTAAATTTGTATTTTTTGCTTTTTTTTATTATTTGCTTATTTTTTTTGATAAATTATTTTTTATATCAAATTAAATTTGGTATATTTTTTTAAAAATAAAATAAACACAAAAATAGAAAAAATAAGAAAAGCAAAGAAAAAATTAATTGTTTTTTAAATGTATATATATTATATGTAAAAATATAACTACTAATAATTAATACTTAATGTTGTTAATATAAAAAATCATTTCTTTTTTCCTCCTTTCTTTTTGCCTACTTTCTTTTTTTTCTTTTTAATTTTCATAAAAGGATTACTAAAAAGACCATAGCCAGGTTCAGGTAAAATATTAGCCTCATTTCCAAGGTTCCCTTCAGGAATTAAGATAGCTTTTACCATACTCTAATAAGGTACACTTATTTTATATTTTGTAAATCTTTTTTTAATTTCTTAAATTTCTTCAACTTATTCTTATCTTATTTATTATATATTAACTTTTTGCAAAACAGCTGAAAAAGGTCTATATTTCAAATTTTTCCTATTAATTGCATAAATACTCATGGAAGGAATAATTTCTTCTTCATCATCATTTATTTTAATATTTTTAGGATTTACATTAATTGTAGGTCCATATAGATGTTTTATTTCTTCAATCTTTACTTTTGTTGCTTTATTTTCTAAATCAAAAATTTCATCATTAATTTTAAATTATTTCTCTGTTTTCGCAGATGTCAATCTTTATTTTCTTAAATCAAAAATTTATGTATTTTTATTTATTTAAATATTTTTTCCTTCATATAAGCCTACCTTAGCTATTTTTTATTCTTCTAGTTTTTCTGATTGTAATTCTTCATCTTCTTGATAATATTAATCGTCATTTTCCTCTTCTTCTTCTGATTATTTATTCTAAAAACTGTCCGTTTAATTATGAAAATCTGAGTCTTATACTTAAATATATTTTGAAGGTGATAAGTTTTTAAATCTTGAATTAGTTTAAGTTAGTTTATCAAAATCTTTTAATTATTTAGCCGAATAAGCCCTTGGTTTATATTCGCATTATTTAAATTATGATCCATAAATTGAAGAATCAATTTTCCTGTTAATTTCTTTTTCAATTCTACTTTTAGCTAAAGACCATAATCTGATAAAATTAATGTTTTCTTCATCTTATTTTTTATTATTTAATTCTTTGTTTTTATTTTAAAACCATTAAAGTTCCAAATTCATTTCTTAAATATCATTGCTTGGTTCATAAAACAAATAATCAGATCTCTGTTCAAATTTTTTATTTAAATTCCTTTAAAAAGTTTCTTTGCTGTCTTTATCATTTTAAAAATTTCTAATATTAGGAATAATTTAAATGACTTTTTTTTGTTCTTCATTTTCTTATAATTTAGCTTCTTATAAATTTTAAAATTATAATATTTAATTTTCTTATTATTACTATTATTACTATTATTACTATTGTTACTATTATTACTATTATTACTATTATTAAAATTATTACTATTATTATTATTATTATTATTATTATTATTATTATTATTATTATTATTATATATCTATGTATTCTTTTTCTTCATTAACAATATGTGAAGGCAGATATTTTTACGGTTTTTCAAAATGCCATTTATTATAATCAAATTATTCTTCATTTTTTTAAATTAATAATTTTCTTTCTTCTTCATCATTAATGAAAGCTTTTCCATGATATTATAATTTTTTTCGTTCATATTCTTTTAGTTTTTCGCTTGGAGGTATATCGTCTACTATTTTAGTTCTGGCTTTTATTTTATAATCTTACAAAAGTACAGCAATCTACTCTGAGGGTTAAAGTGTTTACAATTAAATATCTATTTTTATTTGCTATTTTTATAATTTTGCCATTCTCTCTTTTTCTTAATTCTTTTCATCCGTTTCTCCAATATCTTCTTCTTCTATTATTAAATCTTGGTTTATTTTCTCAATATTATTTTCATTTTTATTTTCTTTTATTTAACTATCGTCTTCTTCTGTTTCTTTTATAAATGCTGAATCCGGCCTTAAAGGTCTCAATATTGCACTAAAAGGTCTCATTTTAGTATTATAGTTTATTGCGCTTCCTGGTCTTAGTTTTTTGAAATTAGCCGCACTTTCAGGTCTTAAAATATCCAATTTACTATAATAAATGGCACTTTCGGGTCTCATACTTGTATTAAAAGCACTTTCAGGTCTTAAAATATTATTAGTGAAACCTCCAGTAGTTGAATTTAGTTATAGAATATTAGTTTTATCTAAATTTCTTAAAACCCCGCTTTTTGTATTTTTGGAAACAGCACTTTGTGTTCTTGGCTGAGGTGGTGCGAATGTGTTTGCTTGTGAAATAATAGTTGCAGCCGATTCTGGTCTTGTTAAGATTGCTTTCGCATACATTGATTCATGTGTTTAAGTATGCTAAGTCTCTGCAGAAACCTCTAATTGTTATAATTAATCAATTGCCCAAGTACATACTTTTTCTGCAAATTTTCTTTATATAATTCTGTCTTTTGTTAATGTAGTTTCACGCATTAAAGCATGCAATGTACGAGCAAATTTTAATTTCCAAGCTCCGTTTTTCATTTCAGTGTTTTTTTATTGACATAAACTAAGTTCTTCATTATATTCTTTTAAGATGCTTATACATAATTAAAAGTGTTCATTATTATTTAAAAATATCGAATTTAAAAATTTTGTGGGAATCTCTGTGTGCAAAAATTTCTTTTGCCAAGTTGAGGTGCTTATTTGTTGAAGTAAACGATTTTCAGAGTTTTAACTTTCTTCTAATAATTGCTACTTATCTCCACCATATATTGGAAGGGGAATTTATACCTTTGATTATTACTGATTTAGTATTTTTGCTTTATAATTGGACATTTTTCGTTTTTTATGCTTCAATATTAAAAGGTTTTTTTTTTTAAATGATGGTAATATTTTTTTTAATATTAAATATGTTATATTTCTTTTGTAGTTTTATTTTTTTTTAAAAAATAAAATAATTTATATTGAAATAATATATTTAAGAAAATATTTATTATTTGAATTTTTTATTTAATTTTAAAATATTATATTGTATTATTTAAATTATGAATATATTTAATTTCATTATAATATAATTTTACTCTTTTTATGAGCTTAAACTATTTTTTTATATTTTTATACAGTATACTATTCTTGTTTTATTTGGAAACTATGATTATTAATAAAATCCAAGAAATAGCTTTTCTTGAATAAAAAAGCGAAATATTAAAAATTCAGGATGTGATGCTTCATATTTTTATTGATTATATTTATAATTTATTACAATAAGTCAATATTATTATTGGAGGTCCTTTAGTAAAAATTATGTTATTTGTTTAAAAAAAGAGGTGTAATTAAAGTATTATATATAATATAAATATAAAAATAAAAATAAAAAAAATATATAAGTACGAACTTTTTAGGGAAAATAATATTTATAAAAAATTTTAAATTAAAGTTATTAAATATTTAGAATAAACTTATTTATAGTAAAAGCAAAACAATATTTTGTTTAAATGAAACTTAAATCTTTAAAGCAAGCCTGAAAATCTTATAAATGAAGTAAAAATTTTTTTTTTTCAAGAAATATCATTGTTTTTTAATTAAAAAGTACTTTAATAGTTTGCTTTAAAAATGAAGGAAATAATTTTAGGATTAGGATAAGTGATTTTTCATCAAGGAGAAATCGATTATATATTTTATTTTGTTTATAATTGTATTATTAAATATATAATTCATTTACAAAAAAGGAAAATTAATTTAAGATATTCCAATTTTTTTTTTTTCAAAAAATCTATTTTTTTATTATTATATTTTTTAATTTAATCCATATAAAAGACAGATGATTTTTTTTAATAGATAGAATTTTCTACAGGAATTTAAAACAATTTATATCAAGAAATTTAAATATGAGCCATTATTATATCTCGAAAGAGAAAATATTAATATTAGAATAAAACAAACTTGATTTTGTAATTAAAAAAAATATATATTGAATTTTGTAAAAATAATGATAAAAGGAATCGTTTTGTATAAAAAGACATAATTTAACATTTAGAATGAAATTGTAAATTATTAAGTTTCTAAGTTATTAAAATTTAATTAAATAAAAAAGTAAATATTCAATATTTCAAAAAAGGAATGAGCTTGATTCATATCATAAAACAAAATGATAAATTTAGAACTTTAAAAGAAATAAAGATGGTTAAATGATTTTTAATACAACTTGGCTTTAAATTTGATATTAATTTGATTTTTAGCTTTCTAGAATATAATTTTATTATTTTCTGATAATTCTATTTTTATTAAAATGTCCAAAATAAAATTTATAATAGATATTCCTGAATTAATTCTTAAGAGCAAATTCATAGCTAAGATGAAATACTGTTTGAAACGAATGATAAAAAAAACAATTAAACATATTAGCTTGATGGAAATTCTGAATATTTGGAATAAATATAAAAAACTAAATATAAGCAAAGTAATTTTTCTTCTCAAATTTAAAAAAAAATAGATTTTGTTACATACATCTCCAGTAAAAATAATAATAACTTAACTTTAATAAATTATTTTGCTGTAAATAAAATGCTCTTGTATATTTATGATTAATTATAAGTATGAGCAATTAGGTTTTTTTGATAGCTAAACTTATATAAAATACCTTATTTTTAGGAACTAAATAAATTTATTTTTTGAAGGTAAGTGATTATTAAATCAAAGTAAAAAATTAAATGCTTTTTAGCTTTTAGCTTTAATTTTTATTTTAAAAAAAATTAACTGCCCTAAAGTCCAAAATTAAAATGCAAAATAACTATATATAAAATTCACTTTTTTCAAAAATTAATTATCTTGACATATATCAAGTAAATAAATTGGAAAAAATATATAAATATCCGAAATAAAAAACAGATGGAATTAACAAGGGATATTAATTTATGATAAATTATGTTATTTTGTTATCATATAATTTTTTTTATATTTCAATAAAGATTATTTTTTAATTATATTTATTTTATGCATAAATAAAAAATAAATAAAATATGGAGTAAATAATATAATCTTCAGTAAAATACAAAATACAATAAAATAAAAAAATATATATAAAAAAACTAAATAAAGGAATAATAAATTTAGATTATTAATCCAGAATAAGTATAAATAACTTATGATGAAGAAGTATTAATTTTTTTAAAAATAAATTAAAATTTTATTTAATCAAATTAAAATTAAAAACAAACTCCAGCAAAACAAAATAATAAATGATATAAAAATACTTAAATTTATTGGATAAGGTGCCACAAGTAAAGTAAAATTATGTGTAAATATAAAAACTGGTAAATACTATGCATTAAAAAAGTTTCACAAAACAATTTTAAAAAAAAAAACGAAACTAGTGAAAGATGATTAAGGAAGTAAGTAAACAGATATATATTAAGATATATAAAAAAAATAAAAAAGATCCAAAGTATAAATCTTTATGGGATAATGTAGAGGATGAAATATAAATAATGAAATAGTTAAATAATAATAATGTTGTAAAGTTACACTAAATAATTGATAACGACTAAAAGTCAAAATTATATTTAGTAATTGATTATTGTGAGCACGGAGAATTACTTAAATGGAATGAATAAAAGCTTGTTTTCACACATCAAAATCCTTTTAATAATGAAAATGTTCAATATATAAAAAAAGTAATGTTAGGAGCATGCAAAGGACTTGATTATTGTAATAAAATCCTTTATTTATAAATTATAAAATAAAAAAAGTACATAGTAAAAATATTATACATAGAGATTTAAAACCCCAGAACTTACTAATAGATGGAAATTCTGAACCTAAAATTTGTGATTTCGGTTCTGCAAAATAACTTTAAAATGATAAGTAAAAGCTTAAGGGTACTGAAGGTACTTTTCATTTTATGCCCCCTGAAAGTCTTTCAGAATCTAACTTAAAGAGTGGATATGATGGAAAAAAAGCTGATGTTTGGTCTTTAGGTATTTGTTTTTATTGTTTGGTATATTTGAAATTACCTTATTATCATGATAATATAATGCAATTATTTAATATGATATAAAATAAAGAGTATTTTTATATTATTTTTTTATTATTCTTACTTTATTTAGTGCAAAAATAGAAAAGAAAAATTGGCCTGACGAAATGTGCGATTTATTAGGAAAAGTGCTTGTTAGAGATCCTTCCAAAAGAATTGATTTGAGAGATGTTATTAAACATAAATTTTTTGATAGTTGATAAATATATTAATAATTATTTATTTTTTGAATATATTTTATTTTTAAATTAAAAATCTTATTATATATAAAAATACAGTTTTTTAAAAATTGACTAAATTAACAATATGTTAAATATTTTTTAGAAAATTAAAAAAATATAAATGTACTTGTAATACAAAAATAAAATTTATATTTTCATTTATTTATTTAATAATAAAAAATTTATTAAATATATATATATATATATCATTTTCTTTCATTTCACTTTTTTTTTTAATAAAATTAGAAATATAAATATTATATAATAATATTTTACTATTTTTGTTTATTGAGCAAGTTTCTAAAATGCTTAATCATATTCAAGTAAAACATTAAACCAATAGGGAATAGCTAAAAAGATTAATCCTATTTTTAAATATTTAATATTATTAAAATAATTATTTAAATTACCTGTACTTCCTACCCATAAAAACTTTTTAAATTTTCTAAAGTATATCAAGCTTAAATTTTAAAGTTATACAAAATATCTATATAGTCGGCTTTTAAGGGTTAAATTACTACTGCCACTGCTTAATAAACTTTTTTGTGAAACTGAAGATTGAAAATTGCTATTACGCATTTTTAGGAATTTTTTTTATTTATATTTAATTATTAATTAATATAAAGTATAAAATAAAATATTAAATATATATTTTTTAAATATATATTATTTTCAAGAAATTTCTATTTATTTATTAAATAAATATTTTTTATTTCATATTTTTTTATTTTAACAAAATCTATATATCTAAATTATATTTAATATATATTGTTTCTTTAAAAACTGATCATTCTCCTATAATTAAAAGTATAATACATAAATAAAGATTAAGTGCGTTAAAATTTAAAAAATATACAAATGCCTAAATATATATGTGCATATTAAATTTAAAATTAAAAAACTAATTAATATATATAGATGTATATTTATATATTAATAAAAGTATTATTTTAAAAGTAGTTTATAAAAGCAATTTTTTATTAAAGCAATATTAAATATCAAAGCATTTTAAATTTATAGATAAAGCGATCAAAATTTAGGAAACTAATCATTTCCTATATATTTTTTTAAAAAAAAACATTCTGTTATGTTTTCAGATAAAATTTATTGGTGTCTTCAGCTCCTCATTTTTCTCCTAAATTATTAACAGCCTTTATCATAAAATATAACTGGTTTTTCTCTATTAAAAATTTATTTGGCGGTTATTTTATTTTTTCATTCTTTCATGATAAAAAATTTTAAAATAAAAACTTTAAATATAATACAAGTAAAATAATTTATTTTAATGTGAAAAATGTAAATTAATTGAATAACTATTTTATAAATTATTAAAAGAAATATATAATATAAATAATTTTAATAAATAAATTAAAATCTATTTATATAATTATTATAAATGAATTTTAATAAATAAATTAAATATTATTAATTTAATTTAATAATATTAAAATTATTTATTGAATGAATTATTATTCAAAAAAATTGTTTTTTCATATTTACTATTTATAGTAAATAAAATTCATAAATAATTTATTATTATTATTTATATATCAATATAATTATTTATTTTTTATATTTATTTATTTATTTATTTATTTATTTATTTAGAATATATATTTTTAATTCAAGATTATAATTTTTCTTTCTTTTTATTATTTTTATTATTATATTTTTATTTATTTTAAATAAATAAAAGTTTTAATGTATTATGAATCAAATTAGCATAGTTTTTTTATTATTTTTAATTAATTACAATTTTTAATTTTTAATTTTTCAGTTTTCTATTTTTTTTATTTTAATAATATTAAAAGCATACAACGATGTAATATCTACATATTATAATAATTTTTTAAATGATTAATCTTCAATAAATAAATTGTTTAGACATTCTTTTTTTATAGCAATTAGATTACAATTATTTAATTTTATCGAATGAATAATATTTTAGAAACTAATTTATAGAATAATATAAATAGAATCTGGTAATGCTTTGATTATATATAAAACACTAAATGGTAACTTATTGTGCAATAAATCAGGTATTTAGATAATCTAGAATATATATATTTGATATATTTAAATTTAATTAAATTATATTTTTTTAAATTATTTTTCTTCTTAAAATTATTTTTAAAATTGTGGTCTAAATTTATAATTATCTAATAATAATACTTCTGTAAATAAATATTAGTTAATATATAAAATTATAGTAACTTAGATTCTTACATAAACACATTTGGTTTAAATTACTTTATTAATAATTTTAATGATAATAATAAGGAGGGGAAATTAAATTAAATGTATTTGTATTATAATTATTTCTATTTTTTGGATTTTATTTAAGTCTTCATCTTTATTTGATTTTTAAAATTCTAAAATATGATAATTATATTAATAAATAAAATATATTTATATCTGTTAAATAATATAAATTCTTCTCTTATAAAAAAATATAAGTTTAAAACTTATATTTAGATCTTTAATTTTTTAAAGCTTTTTTTAATTAATTAATTTTTTAAAAATATTAAATTTTTTGTTATAAAAAAAAATTATATTTTATAATAATATTTATAACCCCTTATAATAATATTAAATAAATAAAATTTGTTTTTAAAAAATTATTGCATAAAATATAAATAAGTACACCTCAACTATATATAGTAATAATTCGTAAAAAAAATAAAAATAAAATATAACAAACGTAAAACCATAGCAAACACAAAATCAATTTAACAATAGACATAAACTAATCCAATAACTTAGAATGTACATAAAATCAATATTTATTATTATATATAAATAAAAAGAAAAAAATTGTATATAAACTTTAAATTAAATTAAGGTATGCAAATCATATTTCGCAAACAATTCTAAAAAGTTTATAAATACTTGTTATAGCAAAGGAAAAAATCGGGATATCGAAACAATAATTCAAGAATAAGAAGATTTTAATTTTCTTTAAATGTTCTTAATTTATTTTTTGATTTTTATTATATATTATTAATATATTTATATTGATTTTTTTAATTGAAGGATTTATAAAAAATATATTAAAATGTTTTTTGCGGATTATAATATAGTATGATTGTGATAATTTGAATAATTTTTATTTCTATATTTTCTAGTAAGTATTGTATTTTTTTTTTAAAAAAAAGTTGTGTTTTATAATTTTGATTATTGTCTAAAGAATTTTTTGTTAAAAAAATAAAAGCATAATTTATATTTTACTATAAAATAAAATATATAATAATAATTATTTAAGCAAAACATAAAAATATTTTTAAAATTAACGTACTTTTATCAATTATATTATTATAATACTTTTTTTATTTCATTTAAATAATTAACCAAAAATTATATAATTTTAATCTAAAAAATGTCAAGAGAAACAGTTTTTACAAGTTTAAATCCTTATAAAGAACTAAATCCTCCAAAGCACTAAAAAAAAGGTTATTTAATTAAATAAGAATAGAGGTAGAAAATATAGAAATAAGGCCAAATTAAAAAAACATTATGAAATAAATAAAAATAACATAAATATAATAGTAAAGCCTCCTATCAAACCTTTTGAAAATATTGTGAAACTTATATTTTTGTTTGTTTGTTTCTTTTATTTAATTTATATGACAATTGAAATATAATATATTACTGTATAGTATAAATAATTTGTTTTATTATTAACAATTACTTTGTATTATTTTCAAAAAAAAATAAAATAAATTTAGATTTATTTTTTAATTAAATAAATATACATATAAATAAATTATATATTTTATAATAAAGGAAAAGCATGTGGATTATATTACAAAAATTAGAATGCTTAAAGTGCATAATCTTACAATGAAAATAATTTTAATAGAAGGAGAATATATAGTACTTCGCATAAGGAAACAATTACAACGGAATTAAGCGATTAAATTAATTATTATTATAATATTTAGCAATAAGGGAAAAGAAGAATTACATAAAAAAGTTAAATTTAAGAATGTTTTAATTAAATTTAAAATAAATAAATGAGATCTACTACTTAAGATAATTATGTTTGTTTTAATAATAAATATGCTGTCCCTTAAATTAGGACAAATGCTTATTATAAAATAGGTTAAAGTAATAATTAATCTTTTTATTTATGAAATCAAGCAAATATTGGACTATTATATATATTATAATTATTTTGCATTTATTATTTTTATAAAATTTTGAAACTTATAATAATTTATCTTTTAAAACAATAATCATATCATACCAAAGTTAAAATAATTATTTGATATAAATATTTTTCATTTATAAAAAAAATAAATGATTAATTTATTTTTATAAATTATATAAATAATTTCTTTAAAATTAATTTATAATAAATACGAAAAAAATATTATTATTAAATAATATTATGTAAATTATATTCAAAATATAAATTTCAAACATATTAATAAATTTATATATATAATTGATATATTTAAATATATACTTTTAAAAAGTAAATGTTTATTCTATTATTTAATATAACTTAATGTTATATATTAAAAAACAATAGATTTCTAAACTAGCATACTAAATATAAATTAAATTTAAATATTTTAACTTTTTCTATTTTTTTTTTTAGGAGGTAATTGAAAAAAGTTTATAAATCTTCATGTCGAATTTTCCTTAAAAAACTTAAAAATAATAAGCAAATTGTTTAATTTCAAAAATAAAGAAAAAAATTCGATAATTAAAAAGATTTAGGAAAGAGGATAGTAAACGTATCTATTTAAAATTTTATTTTAGAAATTTTTATTTTATTTAAAGAAAAATTGTAAACATAAGATAATGAATTAAATGAAAATAATAAAATTTTGGGAATATAATTTAAATTAGATATCTTTAAAAAAAATAGTTAAATTTTTGCAGTTAGGATTTATAAACTACCCTAAGCGAATATTATAATTAAATATTGGTTTAATAATCAATGTTTTTATGAGTTTTCTTTTTTATTTTTAAACTTATTTTTATTATTAAGCAAAATAAAATTAACAATAATTTTTGTTTGTTTGTTATTTTAATTCTTTAATTATAAAAATATTTTATTAGTAATTTAATTTTTAATAATATTAAATAAGTAAACAAAAATCTATTAAAGAAATAAATAAAATTTGTTAAAATAAAGAAAAAAATTAATTAAAAAATTGCAAATATATAAATAAAATGTAATAAATATATTAAAATAATCGAATATACATACCTAAAGCTTTGGCAATAAAAGAGTACGCAATTTATGATGACACAAATTATTCCTATAGGCAAAACATGGAAGATGGTTTTTAAAAAATTTAAAATAAAAACAAATAATAATAAATAAAAAAAAGGATTTTTTATAAATGATAACTTCCTAGCAGATGGTGGAAAGTCTATTTTATTTGCCGTTATGGACGGACATGGTGGAAAGGATGTAGTTGAATATGTGAAATAAAATTTTTCACGAGTTAAATATAACATATATATTTAAAATATATATTAATAAAATTATTTTTAGGAATTTAATGAAGAATATAAAAAATAATAAAAAATATAATTGAAGTTTTAAAGAATTCATTTTAAAGAGTTTTTTCATTTATTTAATTTTTAATAAAAGATAAAATATCAATTTTTTTACCAGGTAGACTAATTATTAAAATAGAATTGCAGATCTTAAGATATCGGCTCAACTGCTTGTATAGGTTTTATTCGTTTAGAAGAAGCAAAAAGAGTACTATATATTTCAAATGTAGGTGATACTTCTGCGGTATTAATAGGTGAAAATTCAGCATAAATGATAACTGTAGAACATAAAGCTTCAAATCCACGTGAAATAGATAGAATAAAGTTTTTTTTTTAGATAAATAACTTAATACTTATAATTTTTAAATAAAGAAAATCTGGAGGAAATGTTATTTATGATAGAGTTGCAGGAGTTTTGGCTGTAAGTAGAGCTTTTGGGGATCATGGTTTAAGTAATTTTGGAGTTATTTGTCTACCTGATTGTAATAGGATTGAACTCAGAATAATTCATAAGTATTTAGTTTTAGCAAGTGATGGTTTATGGGATGTTGTTTAGCCAAAAGTTTTCTTTTATTTTAATTTTATTTTAAAAAAAATAAAAATAAAATTAACAGGAAGTATTGGAAGTATCTAAAATAAAATCTAATTGTGAAGAAATAGCTGCTGAATTAATTAAAAGAGCATTAAATAATGGATCAAGAGATAATATTACTATAATGGTTTTAAAATTAAATTGATTGAAGAAATTTTAAATATTTTTGTTTTTTATTTTTTTTAAAAAAATAACTATTTTATAAAATAGTTTCCTTTTCATTTTATTTGTGTATTTATTTAAAAAAAAAAAAAAAAAAAAAAACTTTTTTTTAAAAAAATATATATAAATATCATATAAATTTATATAAAATAATGGATGAAAGTATATAAAGCTAAATAACAGATTTAAAAGGAAATCCAGGTATATTGCACTTAAATAACTTATAAAAAGAAGGAAAGATAACTTATGATGAATTCGAGAATTTAAAAACTCGTTTTTAAAGACTTAATGATGGAATTATAAAATCGAACCAAAACTTGATTGAATTACCAAATAAATTAGGAATTTTAATAGCAGAAATAAATCATAAAAAATAAGAGAATAAAATAGCTCAGTAAAAAAGTGATGAAATAGAAAATCAAGCAAAAAAGGCACAAAGCAATGTAAAAAAAGCCGAAGAAGAGGAAGAAAATTAAAGAAAACAATGTGAGTAAATGTTATTAGAAGCAGAAAGAAAACAGTAAGAATTGAATGATGAAGAGAGTAAAATTTAAGATATGGAAAGAGAAGCAAGATAGAAAATATAACAAGATAAAGATACTTTAATGCAATAAATAGAAAAATTAAACTCAGAAATGAATAAGGCAAGAGAATTCAATATCAAATAAATTCCTTAAATAAATGAATTTAATACTAAAATAAAATAATTGGAAGATGAGAACTTTTAAATATTAAATGAAATCGAAAAATTAAGAATTGAGGAATCCTAAACAAAAGATGATCCAGAAAAATTATAAAAAAAATATGATCAATTATAAAATGAAAAAATTATGACCGAAAAAAATGATTTGCAAAAAGTGCTTGATGATAAGGCAAAGACTGAAAAACAAATATAATAAGCTAGATAATAATTAGAATAATATGAAAAATAATAGAAAGAAAGTGATAAAATATATCAAGATTTAAAAAAAGAAATCGAAATGATAAAAGTATTATTTTTTTATATTATTTTTAAATAATTAAATAGTAATAATGTAAAGACTTTGAAAATGTAAATATATAGTTAGTTTAAGAAATTGATAAGAAAATGAAATATAAATTGGAATAATAATAAAAAGAAAATTAAAATAAAAAAGAAATTGAAAGATTAAACTATGATGAAAAAAGTATTAAAAAAGATATAGAATAATTAAAAATTATGTATAAGAAAAATGAAAAAGAAAAAAACAATTATAGACATAAGCGAATTTATTAAGAATTTCTATTAATAAATTTGAAATTGAAGAAAAGGAAATCAAAAGTGAAATCGATAAATAAATGAATGTTCAAACTAATGTTTCTGATGAAACAAAACTTACAGAACACAAAAGAAGATAAGTAGAAAACAAAATATAAGACAAATAAGCTGAAAAAGATAAAATTAATAATTAAATCAAAGAGTCTGGAATAACAACTAAAACAAAGAGAAGAATTTGAGGCTGGAGCATTAAAAAAAGTAAAAAGATTAACGGCTATGAGAGAATCAATGGCTAGAAAAGCCTCATAAGCAATGAACGGTATAAATAAATTAGATTTATATATATATTTTATATATATATATATATATATATATATATATATATTATATATATTTAAATAAATAAATTAATTAATATAAAAGAGGTAAGAGAAACACGTTAACAATTGAAAATAAAAGAACTAGCTATAAAAGATTTAGAAAAGAAATATCAAGAGATTAAATTCGAAAGGAATAACTGTAAAATTTTATATGAAGCTGTAAAAAGTGAAAGAAATAAATACGTAAATTACATATAAAGTACTTAACAAGATTTAGCCGAAGTAAAAGAATAAAATAAAATATCTTAAAATGAATTGGAAATATTCAAAAACGAATATTAAGAAAAACACTAGAACCTCATATAATATTAACATACCTTACAAATTCAAAAACATTAACGAGACGGAGCATAAGCCGAATTAAATGCACAAGAATACATAAGAAAAGCAAAGAAGGAACTTGTAGATAGAAATATCAACGAAATTGAGAAATTAAACATGATCATAAGGTCTTTAGAAAACGAATGCCTTTTATTAAAAAAACACTATGAGAAATCTTAAGAATGGAGAAATTATACAGGTGTTTAATTAATAGATAGAAATGATGAGTTATGTATTATGTATGAAAAATCAAATAATTAAGAAAATACTTTACAAAACGGAGAAATGGAAATCAAAAATTTGGAAGATAATATTAGAATGATTAAAATTTCTATCAAAGAAAATAATAGGAAAATTGACGTCTGTAGGAAAAAAATATATGAAGTACCTAAAATGGCAGATGAAGTTGTCAATTTTTAAAAAGAACTTTAAAAATAACAATAAATAGAAGCAGACCTATCCGAAAAACTTGAAAATCCTTTAAATATTTTAAGGTATAGGGATTTGGGAGGTGAAGATCCTGATTAAGAAGCTTTAGATACTAAAATTGGAGTTTTGGAGGAAAGATTAAATAATAAAAAGGAATAATTATTAGAAAAAGAACTTATTCTAGATGAAATTACGAATTTTTCGGAAAAACTAAGAAAATAAGCTTTAGATGGACGTTAAAATACACTAGAGTTATCCGAAAAGCTAAATAACTTTTAATAGAAGCTTAAAGATATTACTAAAAAAATGATGGCAAGCATTTCTGAATTATCTATATTCTAAGCCAATTAAATAAAATTATAATAAGAACGGGAAGAACTAATGAAATAATACGAAGAATCACAAAAAAGAGTTTAAGAAGGACTTCCTCCTGCAATAGAAACAGAAATAGAATATTAAAATATGAAAAAAAATGCACTTAGATATAAAGAAGAAAAATAATTAAGGCTCTAAAAGGAAAATCTGGAAAAAAATTTCCCTCCTTTTGCTACTAAAACTACAGCAGAGCATAGAGTTATTGCTTATATTCCAGACGATACTGGAATTCCAAAAAACTATGGAAAAAATGCACCATTCCATCCTTCAATATTGGGTACTAATATGAGACATTTTAGAAAACCAATAGTAAAAGATATAGATATTTGAATTTTTTTATTTTATTTTATGGTTTTGTTTATTTTTATTATTTATTTTTTCATTTTAATTTATAAACATTGTCTCCTAATGAATTAGTCACTTTATAACATAACTTCTCTATAATTTCTTTAAATTCGTTTTTGGGCTTTTTTTATTTTTATTTTTATTTTTGTTTTATTTTATTTTTTTATTTAAATTTACTTAAAATTATAAATTATTTCTTAAATAGTTTAGTGTTAACTTATCTGAATCTTAGTTCTCTTTTATGTATCTTTTTATTTCTTTTATACATTACTCTCTGTTATCCTAAGTTATTATCGTTGCACTTTCTGTTTTTTCTTTAGTTTATTTCTGAGATTACTCTTCTTAAATTGTTTCTTTACCAGTTATTGCTTTCTTAGTTATAAATTCAGGTTTTTCGTATATCTATCTTATTTCGGTTATTTAATCGTATACTTCTTTAGTATTTTTATTATCATATGTGGAAATAAAACCTTTTAAAATATAAATATTTTTATTTTATTTAATTTACCTTTCTGTAGTTCTTTAAGCTCAGGGATAGGCGCTTCGTAGGAGAATTCATGCTTCTATTCATCTATTTGTTTCCTAGATATCAATATTAATGGACTTTCTTTCTTTATTAGCAAGTCTTTAAGTTTTATTTAATATAGAATATTATATTATTATAAATCAGAATCTCTTATTTCTAAATATTTAGAAACGATTGACTTTTATTATATTTATTTATTTTTTTTTCAACAAAAAAATACTTTTCTTTTGTTTCCAATTAAAGGCATATATTCTTCTCTTTCGCATATATATATTTTTGCATTTCGATTTTGTTACAAATATTTCCTAAGTTCTTTCGTTTCATAATAAACTCCCTTTTTTTTTAATTATTTCATATTAAATAATTTTTATTACTCTAAATGCATATTTAATATCTTCGTTTTCAAAAAACTATTTACTTGACATTTTTTTTTTATATATAAGTAAGATATTATAAATATTCTTTATATAATTAAAATAAATATTAGTGTTTCTAAAAAAAGGATTCCAAAATATATATATATATATATAAATTAAACACATTATTAAATATAATATAAATATATATAAATACAAAAAATAAATAAAATAATAAAAATTAAATATATATATATTTATATTTAAAATTTCATTTTAATTAACAAGTTTTACAATATGGCAACATAAAAAATATTACAATATCGCTTTAACCACAATTTTTACAAAAGGTTTTAGCATTTCTTGCACAAGAAAATAAATTAGAGTCACTGAGAATTTATTTTCTACATTAATCACAACACAAAAATTAATTTTTGTCAAAGTAACATTGGAAGCATATTTTATAATTAAGTTTACAACATTATAATTAAGAAATGTAAATTAAAGATTCAAAAAAATGATCACACAAAGGAATTTCAACGTTTTCTTTTCTTAGCTTTTATCTTATTTATTTAAACTCCTTAGTATCAGCAGAAAAAGGTGTTAATCCACTTTTATTTTTACAAGGTGTTGAATTAGAAATAATATGTATTGAAGGTATTTCTTAATTTAGAGAATGTGAAGAGTTCTATTAGCAACCTTAAGATTTTGTAAAATGTTAAGATATTATTTATTAATTAAAATTTTTTTATTCTTCTTCTTGACTATGTTTTTAATATAGATTTTATTTTTATAAAAAGGAATTTTCTTAATATTTTAATTAAACTATTACATCTTCATTTTCTTTTATTTTATTTTCTTGATTTTCTTTTAATTTAATATCTGAACTTAAGTTTGCATATTTAAATTCACTTTCATGAACCTTAATTATACTTACATTTATTTTATTTTTAATTTCTTCTTAATCTTTAATAATTTAAAGGTCAAACTAAAACTCATTTTAATGTTAAAAAGTTATATACTCTTAAAAATAATTCGAAGCAACATTTTAACTAAAAACTAGATCATAATGGCCTGAATTAAAAATAACAAAAGCAGAAGAAAGCTAGGCTTTTTATAAAATAGGCGAATAAACAATTTCCTCATTTAATTCAAAAACGCTTTCTTTTTTTTTTTATTACAATTATAGTATTGTTATTGGCATTGAAAGAATTTCAGCACTTAAACTTATTGCATGATATTCTGCATCTTCTTTAAAAGTGCTTATTTTTTCAATAGCTTCTTGTAATTCATTATTTAAGAAAAAATGTTCATATTCTTAACATTTTGAGTATAAATTTAATCCTTTTGCTATTATGTTTCTACTTAAATATACCAATGAATAATCTAAATCATGGTTATTAGCTATTTCTTCGAGTATTTTCTTCAAAAAATTGCTTAAAAGTTATTTATTATTTTCTAATAAATATCTCTCAAATAAATATTTTATCAAATTTTACATTAAAATAGTCTCTACTTTTTCCCAATCATTTCTTGGATTACCTTAATACATCAATTATATGGGTTCATAATAGTTTTGATGAATTTTTAACAAAAAATCTTCAAATAAATTAAGATTAGATTCTATGTTTAAGTATATTAAATAGCATACAATTATTGCTCTATAATAGCAATTACCATCACCTCTTATTCCTATGTAAAGGGGAAATCTATGTTGCTTAAATGCACCAGCTAAACGCTTTTCAAAGCAATTCTTATATTAAGTGTAAAAATAATCTCCTAAATTTTAAATGTTTTATAAACCTTTTATTTCTCGATTTATACGGTCAAGAGATGGGGAAACTTTTGTAAAATACTTTTATATTATTTATATAAACTATAATTTCTTTTTAGGTTCATTCGAATATATTTCGTTTGCCTTTTATAGATATTATTAAAGTAAAATATTTTCAGTGTTTGGTTGTTATTGAAAATTTTCAAAAAAATAACCTTTTCTAAAAGATGATTCAGATTCTAGAGTTTTTATTTAAAAAAATGATTATGATTATAAAAAATTTTATTATTATTAGAATTATGATATTAATAATTATTATTATAATTATTATTATTATTATTATTATTATTATTATTATTATTATTTTAATAATTATTAATCTTTTTAATGCTTCATTTAATCCATATATTTATTTTTATTTTATGGATGTTATTATTTCTAACATTATTACTATTATTTCTATTATAATTACTATTTTTATAATTATACTAATTATTAATTTTATAATGATTATTATATTTCATTTTATGAATCTTCTTATTTATATTATTTTTAATTTTCTTTAATTTATATTTATTTTTATTATTAATTTTCTTTTTTTTCAGTTGAATTAATTAAATCATTTTTTAAATTTAAATTATTTGTTAATATAGATTCTTAGTTATATGATTAAAAAGTTTAAGAAAGTGATATGCTTTTTAGTTTTTTTATATTCTCTTCCTCTGGTATATTATTATCTTCATTCATTTTAATATTTTTTTTTTAATTAAAATTTCTATATAAATTAATAACAATAATATTAGATATATTTAGTTTTAATAAATTAAAGTTTTTAGAAATTAATTAATATTTAATTTTTTAATCTTAATAAAATTTTAAAGATTTTAAATATTTTTTTTATTTTTAAATATTATATTTTATATTTATTAATAATATTATTTTTATATTAATTATTTTATATAAATAAAAATATTTTTATATTTATTTATTTTTAAATAGAAATTGTATGAAGTTATTTTAATTTTATTTACGATATTCACTTTGATGTAAAATTTATTTTTAAGTTCTGAATTTTTTAAATTAATTTTATTAAAAAGAAGATATATTTTCCGGAACTATAATGTGATGAACAACCTTAAATTGAGAAATCATAGTCTATAACAATAGATTTTAGATTTCTTTTTTTAAAAAAATATAATTAATTATTTTATTTTGAATTAATATTATTTTCTACAAATATTTTTTAAAAAATACATTAATAAATTTTTTATCCAAAAATTATTTAAAAATTGATTTTACTAAAAAATAATTAATTATAATATTTCATTTATTAATTATCTTTCTAACTAATTAAATGATATTAAACAGCCTTTATATAGATTTCTTTTTTAATTTTTGTTAAAAATGACTTCTTTGAACAAAAAAAAATGAACCTTTTTAGGATATATATATTTTTTGCATAATAATAATACTTTTATGAAACATACTTATGTTATATAGGAAGAACAAAAAGTTATTTTGTATATAATTTAATTAAATTCTAAATTAAATTAAAAACTTATAAGGGTTCGATAGTTCAGAAAAATTATGAATTTAATATATTATCAAAGAATAATTATATTAAATATTTATAAAAAATTAAATAAATACGTAATATCATAAAATATTTTTTTTTTTAAATTTTTTTTTTTTTTTTTTTCAAGCAATAATTTTGGGTATAAGCGCATTTTCTGCACTATTTTAGAAATAAGCCCAATATTTTTCCGTAGCAACAACTAAATATTTTTTTGGATATCTCGCATCAAAAATATTATTATCAAAACTTTTCATTTATTATTTGACATATTCTTTACTTTCTTTAATGTCATAGAATTATCTAACGATTTCTCCTTAATCCCATACTAAATGTAAAAGTCTTTCAATTTTTTTTGGTAATATAGTATATCTTTCAGCAGTTTTAACAAGAGAAACTACTTTTATTCTATTTTATCCAATTATTTCTTCATCCGGTAAAGCAATAACATCTGCAACTGGTCCATCCTAAGAATTTACCCATATTCTATAAACTGACTTTAAACCAGGAAGAGTACTCTTTATTGCTTCTTCAGAAAATTTAAGTTTAGGTTAGCCATTTATTTCTACTAGTTTGTAAACTATACCCATATGAGGTTAATGTTTGCAAGTAACAATATCTGTTCCTACAGCAAAAATATTTATTGCATGAACCTTTTATATATATATATATATTTTATTTATGAAAAAGGGTTATTACTTTATTATTAAATTCTCTTATTTTTTATTCATCAATTCCTTCTGAAGCCATAATTTTAATTTGAGAAAGATCTTTATTCATTTTAGATGCAGCTTTATCAATTAATTATCGTGTTTTTCTATAAATAAAAAAAAAAAACTAAATTTAATAAATATAAATTAATACACTGATAAATAAATTAAATCTCCAGAATCTAATCTAATTCCAACAGGCTATTTTTTAGCATCTGTCAAAGCCATTGAAACTATAATAAAATTAGGAACTCCAGATTTAAGACTATCAAAACTATCAACTAGACAAATGAATTGATTAGGAAAACTTTTAGCATAAGAAAGGAATGATGCAAGCTCTGAATCACTTGTTTTATCAAACTTTATTTATTTATTTTTTTTTTATATTTTTTTTATATTTTTAAATACTCCTAATTGTTCTCTATAATACAAAGATCTTTATTTTATTGGGATTTCATTTATATAAAATTCTTCAATTTCATCTAAAAATGTATATGAAGTTACGAATGCATGAGACATTGTTGAAGATACAGGAATGTCATATTTACTTGCTGCTAATAAATTACTTGTTTAATCAAATCCACCAATATAAGCATATCTAAAATTTTTTAAAATTTATAAATAAAAAATTAAATACCTAGAAGCTGCTAATGCAGCTCCAGGGCTTTAAGCTCTTCTAAGCCCAAATTCTAAAAGAGTCAATTCACCAGCTGCTCTTCTGTATCTCGAAGCATTTGTAGCAACTAAAGTTGGAAAACTTGTTAATGTTATTAATGGAGTTTCAAGAATTAAAAGAAGACTTAAGGGTCCTTCAACTTATATAAGAGGCTCTTTTGGAAAAACAATACTTCCTTCAAAAAAAGCTTTTTTTGTTGTTGTTTTTTTTATTTATTTTTTAAAATAATTATTATATTTTATTACTATAAAGCTTTATGCTTTAACAATCTAATGTTCTTAACCATTCGAAAAACTCTTCTTTAGCATCTTTAGGAAGTATTTTTCGTAAATATTTTATATCTTCTTCTGTTATTTTGAAATATTTTATAAATGAAAGTACTTCTTCTACACCAGCGAAAATAGAATACTTTTTATTAAACAAAAAAAATTATTTTTAATCTATAATTATAATTAACTTCTCCTTCAAAAGGATTAACTCTATAAAATATTTCATAAACGGCTCTTTCGTTATGCTTATGACTCTAAAAATGCGAATAAGCCATTGTAAATTAATATTCATCAGAAAGCAAAGGGACCGAAAAGTCTGTATATTTTGACTTATTTATTTTATTAAAATACGTTTTATCTTCATCGAATTCTTTTTTTATAAATATTTTTTTTTTAAATAAATTTTTAATTTACTTTGCTTGTCTAGACATTCATTAGAATGCTACTTTTCACACTATTTAGAGTTTATTTTTATTAAAAATAATATTAAACATAATAATTAATTATAATTTATTTTTTTCATTTTATGTAAGCTTATACCAATTAAATATAAAAAAATATTAATTATAATAATAGAAATAATATAATAATTATAATTTATTTTTAATACATATATTCCTTTATTAAATGAAATAAAGAATAAATTTAATTCAACAATAATAAATAAGAATACTATAATACTATGAGTTCAATTAAATATTTTTTCAGACTTTATACTTAAATTTTTAATTTTTTAAATTTAAATAAAATAAAATTTTCAAATTCATTTCAATTATTTATCTTTAATATAATAAAATATTTATTAATATAATCAAGAAAACAAAAAAATATCTAAATCTATTAAGATATTCTTTATTTATAAAATATTTTATTTAACTAATGAAAATTATTTTTTTAAAAAACTATAAAAAAATAAATGAATATATATTTTTTTTATAATATTAAAAAAAAAAATGTTTGAATATAATTTTTCATCATTATTTCTTATCGCCATCTTATTATTCTTAATTTTCTTGTTATTATTACTAATCTTAATTAGTGTTAGTAGATTCTTAATTAGATTATCCACTATAGATAGCTTAACCGATTTTCATTGCAGCATTTCTAACATTTTCTACTTATTATTTAAGTTCAGAAACTTAATCAGTACCAGGATTATTAGCAAGTGTGTTTTTAAGAGTTTATATTTCTTTTTCGATTTCTTAGACGAGGTCAGCTGATAATTTACTTTTGTGTTCATTTAAGGACTTTTCAGTGCTATGTACAGCAGAATCTCCTTCATTTTTAAGGTCAACAAGTTCTCTTCTTTTTTAATCTTCTTCTTTATTATTTTCAGCTTCTCTAATCATATCATCAATTTAAGTCTTAGAAAGACCACCAGAACTTTAAATAACAACGTTTTATTTTTTTCCAGTTCCTTTATCTAAAGCACTAACATGGACTATACCACTTTGATCGATATCGAAAGTGACTTCAATTTAAGGTACACCTTTAGGGGCAGGGGCAATATCAGCCAAATCAAATTAACCTAAAATTTTATTTTGAGCAACCATAGGTCTCTCTCCTTAGAAAACTCTAATTGAGACTACAGTTTGGTTATCAGCTGCAGTAGAGAATACTTATGATTTTTTTGTTGGAATTGTTGTATTTCTTTCAATCATCTTAGTCATTACACCTCCGTAGGTTTCAATACCAAGTGTAAGTGGGGTAACATCTAAAAGAATGACATCTTTTACACTTCCTTAAAGGACACCTCCTTAAATTGCTGCACCACAGGCAACAGCTTCATCTGGGTTAACACTCTTATTAGGAACCTTTCCAAAGAAATCTTAGACTATTTTTTAGACCATAGGGATACGGGTAGAACCTCCAACAATAATAACTTCATCAATTTTTTCTTTTGTTAAACCAGAATCTTTAAGGCAAATTTCACAAGGTTTTATTGTTTTCTTTAAGAATTCTCCTGTAATGCTTTCGAATTTGGCTCTAGTTAATGATAAATTACAATGTTTAGGACCTGAAGCATCAGCAGTTAAATAAGGTAAATTAATTTCTGTTGTATTTGTTGAAGAAAGTTCTACTTTTGCTTTTTCAGCAGCTTCTCTGACTCTTTAAATAGCCATTTTATCTTTATGGATATCAACTCCGCTCATGTTCTTGAATTCCTTAATAATGTATTCAGAAATCATACCGTCAACGTCTTCTCCACCACAAGAAGTATCTCCGTTTGTTGCTTTGACTTCAAAAACACCATCACTTAGTTCTAAAATAGATATATCGAAAGTACCACCACCCAAATCATATACAGCTACAACTTTATTAGAGCTTTTTTCTAAGCCATAAGCCAAAGCAGCTGCAGTAGGTTCGTTAATGATTCTTTTTACAACTAAACCTGCAATTTGTCCTGCATCTTTTGTTGCTTGTCTTTATTAATCATTGAAATAAGCAGGGACAGTAATTACGGCATTCTTAATGTCTTTACCAAGGTAAGAATCGGCTGTTTCTTTCATTTTTGTAAGGACAAATGAACCAATTTAAGATGGAGAAAAGGTCTTTGCTCCACTTTATACCCAAGCATCTCCATTAGAGTTCTTTACTACTTTATAAGATAAATGTTTAGTATCTTTTTGGACCATAGGATCATCAAATTTTCTTCCGATTAATCTTTTGGTAGCATAGAATGTGTTTTCAGGATTTGTAATTGCCTTTTTTTTTGATTTATTAATTTTTTGTTTTTCTATATTTTTGTTACTTGTCTTTTTGCAGGAGATCCGACTAATCTTGAACCATCAGCTTAAAAAGCAACTATTGATGGAGTTGTTCTTTGACCTTCAGAATTTTCAATTACTTTTGGAGTTGATCCTTCCATTACAGACACACAAGAGTTTGTTGTTCCTAAGTCAATACCAATAATGGGATCTCCTATAGTCCTATTTTATTATTTTTTGATAAATATTTTTATTTTTTGGGAGTATTTTGGTACGCAAATTGTCTAAAGACTCCTTGAGGTACAAGTTTTTTAGAAATAAGTTTTGAAAACATTTTTATTTTTGTTGTTGTTTTTTTATTTTTTTAGATCTTTTTTTTATTATTATTATATTTTTATTTTTCTGATTTTTATTTTGAGATAAAAAAAAAAAATATTAACTTTTAATTTTACATTTGGTATAAAAAAAAAACATATCTTGCATTCAAATTTAAAGAGAAATTTCTAAAAAATTCTTTTTATTTAATAAAATTTTAATTTTTTTTTTTTTTCTGTTTGTATATATTTTTATATATTATTCATTAAATAAAATAAATTAAAAAGAATTTTAAAATTATTTTTCCTTTATCATTATTGAATATTTGTTAAAAAAATAATTAAATGACTAAAATTCATAATTAATATTTATTTCAAATAATTTTACATATTTAAATGGATTTTAAATATTTTTTTTGAATAGAACAAATATAATCGAATTATTTTAAGAATAAATATTATAATATTTATAAATAGGAAAAAAATATAAATAAATAATTTTATTTAAAAAAATTTCTATTTTTTTTTTAAATAAAATTAATTAAAAGTATAATTATTTAACAGGTACAAATATAATAAAATTTTATATATTTATTTTTTTATAAATTATTTATTATTTTCGAAAAGAATATAGATTTTTTGACTTTATAAATAATTAAAATTTATTATAATTTAATAATAAATCTAAAAATATTAAAGAAACAACATAATTTGATTATTCTTTATTGTCTTAATTCGATATATTTTATTTATTTTTGATAAATCAAACTATAAAAATTAAAAAATTACTTTAAATATTTATAATTCTTTCTTTATGATTTTAAATATAAACATTAGAAATAATTTAAAAATTATGTATTTCAATAAATCTTACATTAACATATATAATATAACAATAGTATTTTTATAAAAATTATAAATTAAAATTGTTAAAAACTAAATAAAAAAATGAAAATGATTTATAATATAATATCAATTATCTTAAAAATTATATTAATTAGATAAATAATTAATTATTATTATAAGTAATTATAAGACATATATAATTTATTTAAATTAATAATTTCTTAATATAATTTATATAATAATATTTTTTATAATTAATAATTAGACTCGTTTATATATTTTTACAAAATTTATTTATAAATAATAATTAAATTTATTACTATTTATATTTTACTTTGTATTATATCTATAAATAATTATTTTTTAATATATTAATAAATATATCAAACATAACCTATAATACTAAAATTATTATATATATATATATATATATATATATATATATATATATATATATATATATATATATATATATATATATATATATTATAATATAGTTATTAAAATTAATATTTGCTATATTAATATATCTTCTGATAATTTTTAATCCAACTTTATTTATCAGTTTAGTTTTATATATTTAAAAATTTATTATATTATTATTAATATGTTAAATGAAAGAAAAATATTTATTATTACAAAAATCAGTATATAAAAAATATAAATTATTACTAAAATAAATATATTTGTAAAACTATAAATTAAAGTTTTTTTTAAATATTTAAAATTATTAATTAAGAAAAATAATGATGTTATAATATACATTTATATATATTGAAACTTTATGAAATATGCTCTTATATATTAAAATAATTACTATAATAATAGATTGCATTCTTTAAAATTATTCTAAATAATTAATATAAATTTATAAAATCAACTAAAAATTTTATATTTAATATTTCCCTTACTATACATATTTTTTAAAAATATATAATTTTTTTTTTAAATTTTGAATATCTTCTCAGCTTTTTTTAAAAAAAAAAATAGTTGTTAAGATACCGAGGGATATCTTATTAAAATCGGGATATATAATATTTCTAAAACAATTTTTATTTATAATATTATTTTTGAAACATTTTATTATATTTTTAAATTAATATATTTAAGTCATTATTAATTTTATATATTACTTGTTTATAATTTTTATCTTAATTATTTTAAAATGCTTAATCAACAAAAAAGCCTATTTAGTCTTATTGTTCTATTTTATTATTGCTGATTAAATTATTAAAGAATAAAATAAAAAATATTAACAAATAATATAATATTTAATAATTAATTAAAAAAAAGCATTTATTCATTTATTCTTAAAAAAATTTTTAAAAATAAAAATAATAAGCATTTTAAAGGTATAAATATTTTATTTAATATTTAATAAAGAATTTTTTATTTTTTAAAATAATAAAAGAATATATTTAATATAAAATTAAATATATTAAAATTATATAAAAATATATGAAATTAAAAATATATTATAATAAATTAAAGATCAACAACATATATCTATTTTATTTTAAAAAAATATAAAAATAATAAAAAAAATTAATTTTTTTTTAATCTATTAATTATTATAAATTTTTTTTTTTTTTTTTATCATTTTAAATTATAAATAATTTAATAAATTAATTCTTAAATTTTTTGAATGAACAAAGGAATAGATAAAATATGAATAAATAAATATATAATTATTTCTTATTTATAATATATATTTTTCTTATTTATTTTTATATTTTTTTTTTTTTATTTTTATATTTATTTATTTTTAGCTCAATATTTAAAAACTATTATTTTAATTTTTAAAATAATAGAAATTGTTAAACTTCTAACACACTATATTTAACATTATTTTTTTCTATCTAATTTAAAAATTTTACTTAAATAAAAATTATTTATAAAATTTATATAAAATATGCAATAACTTCAATAAAATTTTGAATTATTTATATAAATTAGAATAAATTAATAGAGATATTTGTTCATAAATTAGTTGTTATTTATAATAATTTTTTCTATATAATAATTTTTAAAAATTTTTATATTTTATTGGCCTTTTTTAATAATAAAATATTATATATAAAACAAAAAGATAAAATATAAGTAAATAATTATAATTTTAAAATTTATTATTCATATTTATACATAATTTTATATATTAAAAAAAATTAAAAAACTTTTTAAATTCTTTAACATATATTATTTAAATTTTAATAATAAATAATGATTTAAGAACTAGATTCATCAGTTTAAAATAGGGATAAAAGCATTTTATAAATAATAGACTTACAAAAAAATATTATATAGGAGAATAATATTTAGAATTTAAGATTATATTCTCCTATAAATAACAAAGCTCCAAATAAGTTTTCAAGTCCATAAATATATTTAAAATAATAAGCGAATCGTAAAAACTGTTTAAGTACATTTGGAGCGGCAGCTTAATATGCAATGAGCTGTTAGAATAATTACTAGAGTCCTAACACAAATATAAAATCGGAAAATTATATAAACATTAGCATTAATAATGATAAATTAGACTAATTTGATATTTAGAAATAATTTAAATATTCCTTAAATTTAAATGGAGAATAATAACAAGCAAAAAGTCCAGCCTAAATAATTTATATCTAGAAATAATAAAAGCAATAATTATAATACTATGAATAAAATGTAAATTAATAAATATAAATTAATTTAATATAATTTAAAAAAGTAAAGTAATTATTCGAATTACCCTGCTAATGATGAAAATAAAATGTTATTTTATGATTCGCCGTAAAAAAATTAAGAATTTTAATAAAATATTAGTTAAAAAAATGGTTAAATTCCGAAATATTGTGACCCAGATGTTTAAAAAAATTATATTAATAATGATCCTTTACTAAAGCATTAAAATGATAAAAATAAATCTATTATATAATCAATTCAATAAATAAAATACTAATAATAATATTAATAAAATAAGCCGTAAATAATATAAAAATAATAAGAAGTAATATAATAATAATATCAAGAATATTATTAGGCTATTTTATCATAAAAAAAAGAATAATAAGAGTATTAATTTTATAATTAAATTGATAATCATTTCAAATAAAATTAATGTTTTTAAAATAGACCTCATTCTTAATTTTACTGTTAATTTTTTATGCCAATATAATAAGAAAATAATTAATTAAAAATAGAAAATAATGAAAATTTTAAAAATGTAATTTTAAATTAAAATAATTGTTAAAAATAATTGTTTGAGAATAATAATATTTTATAGAATTAAAAAATAGAATATAATTTAAAATCTTAAAATTATTTAAAGAACTAAAATATTCTAAAAAATCAAAATAATATTAATGACAATAATTAAATGGAGTTAGAAAATAATTAAATTTTTGAAAAAAAAAGAAAAAAAAAGAACATGTTAATAAAAGAAAATAAAATGAGACTAAGAATATTCCTAAAAATTATTCTAAAGCTATTATTAGTTATATTCTTAAATAATAACCTTAAGATATTGAAATATTATTAAAATATAATTATACTTATTAAGAATATGAACATTATTTATAATAAATTAAAGATAAATAAACTACTATCAAGGATTTAAGAGAATTATGGACTGATAATTGTGAAGATTAAAAGTAAAAACTATTTAATAAGGTTTTTAGAATTTTATCATTTAAGTTTTTTAGAGAAAATTGTTTGGAATATATATTTTCTTCCAAAAAAATTAAAAATTTCCATGCTTTACTGACTTATAGATATACCCTATAGTAAGCATTATATTTTCCTTAATAATTTTAATTTATTAAACTTTGAGCTTTTTATTTCGTTTTAAATTATATATATAAAAAACTATAATTGTTATTATTTATAAAAATTTAAATTTTAGTTTATATTTTATTATTTTAACTTTTTTTAAATATTAATTATTTTCTATTTTTATAAAAAATAATATTTAAATGATATATAAAATAGCATGTAATAACCCTAATATATCTTCCTTTATGTTAAAGCTTTGTTCTTTATACTTAATAAGGCTTTAAAAATTAACATTTATTTAAACAAAGCAATTATATTTTAATAAATATTATATTTAAAAAAAATTAATACATATAATGATAAAAATTATTAGTTTTTAAAAGCAAATATAATTAAATATAGTTTAAAAAAATTGATTTTGTCCTAAAATATAGGTAAAGATTAATTTATCATTTAAATTACTAAATTTAGATACATATAATAAATAGTTAGTAAGATAAAAATAATGTTAATAATATAAAAGATAAGAATAAAAACAATTTAAAATAATATTAGTGCTAATATAATTTTTAAAATATAATTTAAAAATAAATAAATTATTAATTAAAAAGTGAACATAAGAATTTTTAAAATATAAAATTAAATATAATAAAAATTAAAAAAAT